GAGGGGCATCTCAGAAAGCACTACTGGAGCCCAGTCCCAAGTCCACATTGCAGCATGGCTTGGACACATGCCGAGCAAGGCAGGGACACATGGGCAATCCCCAGGCGCTGTCTTTCTCCAACCCCTTCCAGCTCCCTTCCTCCCGGCAGGATGCAGGCAGACGTGTCCTCATGGGGTCTGCACTGTGGCCACCTCTTGAGATGCCAGGGTTAGGGGACAAGGATCAGGTCCGAGGGGATGGCAGGGTGCCATGGTCAACAAGTGGAAAGTCCTGGCTGAATTCCTGTCACAGAAGCTAAAGAAGCATCGTGGGCATTCCTTCTGTCTTCAGCCTCCACCAAGGAGCCGCCCACCCAGGGCAGTTGAACCCCACAGGTGAGCCAAAGAGGCTGGCGATGGGGAGGAGACGGCTTCCAGGCGACCTCCCAGGCCCTTGGGTGGAGACTCCCCATCCCTCCGAGTGGAGGGCCTGCAGCTCTAGCCGGTAAGGAGGTGAACGGAGGCCGGAGGCCGGGCATGCCACAGCTGGGCGGGGTTTCTTGGTAAAGACTTTGTGGACCTCCTCCCTCTACACTCACACAAGCTACAGGGGAAACACAAGATTTCAACATTTGGGTTAAAACCCTCCCATATTTCAGAAACATATCTTTGAAAATTCAAAACTTGAAAAAGTAGAACTCATGACTCTTTTGTATTATGATTGCCAAATACATTTTAAAGAGGTTTTCTGAGGATGATGAAAACTATTCGTTACAAGGCACCTGACTCCATCAGGAGGACAACCTCCCGGCTTTATTTACCCATTGTAGGGTGAGAAGGAAGAAGTGAGACTTCATCACTAGGACACGCACACCCGAAGACTTCTCTGAGCTGAAAAATAAAGGTAGGCTTTCTAACAGAAAATCTCACTTGGCTAACTAGTGTGCAAGTTCAGACAGGCTTTGTCAGCTAAGTATTCTCTAAAAAGTACAAGAGTCAAGGGGCCGGGGATTTAGCTCACTGGTTCTGGTGCCTGCCTTGAAAGTACAAGGTCCTGAGTTCCATCCCCAGTACCGGGGTGGGGGGGGGGTGTACAAGAGTCAAACCTGCAGTTCCAAAGTTTTAAGGAAAGTATACTTAAAACATAGGAGGCTGAGGCAGGAAGATTGCTGTAAGTTCAAGGCCAGACTGGGTAACACAGTGAGTTCAAGGCTAGCGTAAACTACACACCAAGACTTTGTCTCAAAGAAAATTAAAATTAAAATTTGTTTTACTCTATTGTGTTCATGACAATGTACTAAACAACTTTTAATTTTCTCTACTATTTTTAAATATGTCAAATTATACTAGGGGTCTTTATTTATTTATTTATTTATTTTGGTACTAGGGATCGAACTCGGGTCCTTGTGCTTGCGCAGCAGGCAGCGAAAACTAGGGGTCTTTAAATAAATCACTAACAGGTATAATAATTTGATAAGTGACAGTAATGCCTCTTTAGAAGCCTTTGGGTATTAACAAACTGAACAACTCCAGTAAGCAGTTACAAATTCTTCTAACAATCAAATGAGTACCAGTTCTGTGATTTCAACAAAATAAGGAGGATCTGACTAAGCCAAAACTGACAAGATAGCAAAACTAAGTACTGATTTGAAAGCAATGTGATTCTTGGCATAAAACATGTAAATATTTCAAAACCTGAAAGGCAATCCTATTTTCAGGGTATATCAATCTAGGTTGGAGGCTGTTTTCCTTTAGGGCTTGAAATACATCACTCCAAGCTCTTTTTGCCTTGAGGGTTTGCATTGAGAAGTCTGCTGTGATTCTGATGGGCTTTCCTTTGTATGTGATTTGTTTCTTTTCCCTCCCTGCTTGTAGAATTCTTTTCTTCTGTTGGATTTCTGGAATCCTAACTATTATATGCCTATGTGTAGATTTTTTTTTGATTAAGGCTAGCTGGAGTCCTATTGCCTCACTTATCTGTATGTCAAGTTCTTTTCCCCTCCTTGGGAAGTTTTCTGCCATCACTTCTGTGAACAGTTTTTTTTTATGTCATCTGCACTCTCTCCTCTTTCTTCATTAACTCCAATCAGTCTTATGTTATTCTTCTTTGCATCGTCCAGCAGCTGCTAGATTGATTTCTCGTGTTCTCTTACAATTTTAAAGCAATTTTTCTTTTCCTCCTCACTAATTGCAATCTTATCTTCTATATGTGAAATTCTATCCTCACATTGGTTCATTCTGCTGCGCCGACTTTCGATGGAGTTTTTAATCTCTTGGAAATCTGTTTGTATCTGTTTTATGGATTCCATTTGTTTCCTATGTTGGGATTCCATCATATTCCTCAGATCCTCTATTTTTTTTATCTGTGTCCTCTCTAGATTTATTAATCATGTCTTGCACCATGAGCAAAATCTTTGCTGTTATCTGAGTAATTATTTCTGATTTCATTTTTCCCAGATCCTCTTTTGTTGCCAGTTCAGAGAGTCCAGGTGGTTGAGTATCAGAGTGTTCCATCTTATTTCCCTTTGGGGTTGCTGTAGGTGATCCAGAAGTCTGTTTTTGAGGCTTGTTTATGTGTCTTCTCATTTCCACGGGGTGGGGGGGGGGCTTCTGGCACCCACGCAGCTCACGTTCTCTGCCCTAGGAGCTTGGGATGGCAGTGGGGGAGCTTCCTTCCGGGTGCTGGGACCAGCTCAGCTTCTCTGCCCTAGAAGCCTGGGATGGATGCGGGGAGCTTCCTTCTGGGTGCTGGGAGTGGCTGAGCTTCACTGCCCTAGGAGCCTCGGCAATCCTATTTTTAAAAAAATCGATTCCTTCCATTCTGATAGAATTAACATGTATTTATATTGTAGAAGTATCCTAGAGTGATTAATAACAGATTTTCAACCATAAAAATGGATTACATTTGCATAACCTTCTATAGGGGAAGAGAATGGAAATACAAATTCAAGGAGATAAAATAACAATGTAAAATTCTGATTATTAAAAAAGAGCTTTTAAAGACTTTTAAGGGATGATAATAGGCATCAAATAGGAATGGCTAAATATCTTTTTTTTTCCAAATTTCAAATTTAGTTTTAGACATACTACTCTCTGGAAGTCAATATTTATCGTTTGTTCAAAACTGCATCCTTTGTAACTAAAATTTGATGAAAATTGTTAGGTGTCAGTTCAGACCCATGAAGAGGATTTATAGACTTTTCAAGATTATCTTAGGGGTACACGACTGAGCAAGGCTGAGAACCCCTGCTGTCACTGCACCCAACTCTACTTTCCGGAGGGACAAATGCCCCAAGAGGCAGGTGCATCCGGGGCGCCGGAAGGGGTGCTCAGGAGGAGACACAGGTGCTCAGAGCTCTGCACAGGAGTGACTTCTCGGGAGGGCCTGGAGCATGCCCTGTGCTCCCGCGTGATAGCAGGACCCACAGGGGAGCTGCCCCAGAGAGCCGATCCACAGAGGCCATGGCTGCAGGCCTGCCTCCTAGGGGACACTGCAGGGCTCCATTTTACTGGTTGGTAGAACAAGCCAGGGCCAAGGACTCAGGTCTTCAACTCTCCCGCCTGACAGAGCACTTTTTTAATGCTCCAGTGGACCCTCCTGCCAGGTGAGACACTGGTTCATAATTACCTGACTTGAAAGCCTGATTCTGTTTCTGCATGTAAAGAAAGAGTACTTTTTGGCCCAGGGATATAGCTCAGTGGTTCCACCGCCTGCCTCGCAAGTGCAAGGTCCCAAGTTCAATCCCCATACCAAAAAAAAAAAGAGTGCTTTTTGTATAGCTTTATTACACTCTACATATTCTAATGATGTTACCACCATGTAATCAAGGGAATAGGGATAAAGCCCACATAAGATATGAGGAGCTGTTTCCCATCAAGTCAAATCACGTCATTAAAGGCAGCAGCATTCGAGGCATGTGAATTGGCCCCACAAAAAGTCACTGTCCTGACTTTATGCACAGAGCAAGCATCCAACTACTTCATTCCATCCTCCTGAACAGTCAGATACGAGCACACAGTAAAACGCAAACTGTTTTAATCTAGGGAAACACTTCCCTTTCTTTTTATTTCTGCTTTATTATATTTAGGATACTATATTATTTAAATTCTATGTATAGATTGTTACATAATCTATGAATTTAACTTCAAAAGGCTAAAGATGGAAGCACAAAATATTTATTACAAAAAGAGAAGTAAATGGGCCACTACATGGATGGACCTTAAAAAAACTGCATGAAGTGGAAGAAGCCAGACATGGAAGGGTCTGTGTCACATGAGTGTGTTTTTGGGGTTTTTTGTTTTTGTTTTGTTTTTTTTGGTACCGGGGATCGAACTCAGGTCCTTATGCTTGCGAGGCAGGCGGCGGAACCACTGAGCTAAATCCCCGGCCCTACATGACTGTGTTTATACGAAATGTCCACAACAGGCAGAGCTGCAGCAACAGGAAGTTTGGGGTGGCTGCCCAGGGCTGGAGGCAGGAGAAGCGACTATCGGTGGGAACAGGTTTCTTTCTGGGGCTGATGAGAATGTTCTATAGTTGTTATGGTGATGACTGCACACGGGGAGTATACTAAAAGCTCCTGAGTTCACTCCACATACACTGCAAATGGCTGAGCTGTGTGGAATGTGAATTTTATCTTTTAAAAGCTGCTTTTAAAGAAGTAGACATGCTCACAAGAAAGAGAACTCAGGAAAGAGGCAGCGGAAGATTTTGCTGGGATGTCTGCACCGTCCAAACCTCCATGAAGCCACAGAGTATCGCTGGTACTCAGTGTTGAAAGGCTTTGGTTTTATGTATCATTATCATTATCATTTTTATTATTATCACAGCACTGGAGAATGGACCCAGGACCTGTCCAATAAATTACACCTCAGCCATTTTTAAATTTTTTATTTTGAGACAAGGTCTCACTAAGTTGCCCAGGTTGAGCTTGAATTTACAATCTTCCTGCCTCAGCCTCCCAGAGTCCTGGGATTGCAGGTGTGTACCACCACACCCAGCTATAACTCTGATTTTAAAGGACACTCAAATGGCAGTGAACATAGGTCAGACTTTCAAAAATACAATCTGTCTCAGATTTCATATAAAAACCGAGGCTTCTAGGGTTGGGAGGACATAAAGAACATGTGCGACAACAGAGCCATCCTCTGAATCCCTCCAGACCCAACCGGCACAGCGAAAGGGCGCTGCAGGGTAACCATCTAGGAAGTACAGCACCAGGCCACGTAACACGGCCCACACCGCAACAGAAGGAAAAATGGAAGAAAAAGAACACACATGCCCAAATAGCACCCACTACCAATAATCACCTAGTTAAGGGAAAACCACATCTAGAGACCACATTCCCACGCCTCTGGTTACGAGGTGGGTAGGAGCCAGCGCATGAAATGGCTGCTGTGTTCCGAAATCAGAAAACCAGCGCTGAGGGACTGAGATTTATTAGCATGGAAACCACACACACACACACACACACACACACACACACACACAGAGGCAATGACATTTTCCTGGGCAGTGTCATACTTTGATTATCTTAAATTTATTAACTTATAAACACGAGCGGTTCTCCCTTGACGTGGTACCACAATAACTGACCCCATGATTCCCCGTGTGGGAATCGAGACAGGTGCTGGAACCACTGAGCTAAATCCCCCTGTGTGGGAACTGTGTCCACGGAAACCATGCAGAGTGAGGAGATCATTCTGATTCGCTCAGGTTACTGTGCCACCCAAAGCAAAAAATGCCAGAGCTGAAGTACATGCCATGGCAGTTCCAGAAGTCCTCACTCATAAAGGACACCATTTAAAGACTTGTCTCCAGGTCTACATGAGTTGCCTCAATGATACTCAAAAGGAGAAAACAAACCTTCAAGACCCTTTCCCCTTTAACTTTTTTCCTTTTTTTCGCCCTGGTGCTTCGAATCAGACCCTGGGCCTCGTGCAAGGGCTCTGCCACTGAGCTACCCCGGGCCCTTTGCTTAACCTCCCTGCCCATTGAGTCCTAGCCCAAAGCTGCAGAGGAGCAGGCAGAGCCAGGAGTGGGTAGGGAGATACATACAGAGGACCTCCCCACCCTTCCACCGTCTCCAGTCCCCCACTCTGAAGCAGCTCATTAACCGCTCATGCTGTTCACTCCTCCATCCACGTGTGAGCAAACTGCCAACGCTGCCGGCCAGCCTTCCGAGGGCTCAGCACATGGCTGGCTGTGCTGCCAGTGCCCTGGCATGGGTCCTCCTTCGCTCACCCATCCAAACCTCCGGAGCCCCCACTCCCACGGTGGCCTCTCAGTGGTCCTGGCAGTGTAATCCTGTTTTCTCCACAAGACCCCAGGTCTTAGCAACTGTCACTTGGGTTGGGGGCCTGTATATTTTAAGTTTACTGCAACAGTCACTCTTTATCCAAGGTTTCGCTTTCCAAAGTTTCAATTACACAGGGTCAACTGTGTTCTGAAAAAACTAAATGAAAAATTGCAAAGATAAATAATTCATAGCTGGGTGTGACAGCACAGGCCTGTTATCCCAGTGCTCTGGGAGGATGAGGCAGGAGGATTGCCAAGTCTGAACCCAGCCTGGACCACTGGGCACCTGGCTGAGACCCTACCTTCAAGGGGGCAGGGGTTGGAAATGTACAGCAGCTCAAAAAGAAGGCCCGGGTTTGATCTCCAGTACTGAAAAAAAATTTGTAAGTTTTAAATCACAAGCCTCTTCAACTGGCATGAAATCTCTCACCACTCCCCTCTCTCCCACCAGGACGCCAGTCATTCCTGCATCCTGTGTATTTGCACTGTATACGATACCCACCCATTTGTCACTTGGTACCAGCTCACTTATAGATCAACTGTCACAGTATCTGCAGTGCTGTGTCCAACTATGGAATCCTGTTTTACTTAATAACGTCCCCAAAGCACAAGAGTGGTTCTGCCTGCAGTTTGAATGTGCCAAAGAGAATCTATAAAGTGATGCCTTAAGTGTGAAGGTGAAAGTTCTTGACTTAATAAGGCTAGAAAAAAAAGTATATGGAGGGTGCTGAGATCGTCAGTACAGCACCTTGCATGGGAGACCACATTCACCTAACCTTTGTCAGCGCATATTATATAATTGCCTTTTAGTTACTGATTATCTCTTCTTGTGCCTAATTTAAAGATTAAGCTTTATCACGGGTACTTATGGATAGTATTCACAGACTATTTATAGAGTTCAGTTCTACACATGGTTCTAGATATTCACAGGGGCCTTCCCCGTGGCTAAATGGGGGGGCTACTGTGGACCACAAACATTATCACTCAAGGTTCAGTCATTTAGTTTCTACCAAATCTCTTTCACTGCTTTTAACCTTAAGAAGTCTCATCAGTGCCTGGGGAAATATCCACTTTGTTGTCTTCTCTTTTTTCATGTTTTTATAATTAATTCTTAATCCATCTAGAATGCTTTGTGATACATCTCCAAAAGACAGACTATTTCCAAAGGCAGCTAGCTACTGGTTAAGACTTATTGGAAAGATAAGACAGACTCACTCCCTAACCACGCAGCCTTATTTTCAAGAAGTACCATGACGGGCAATTTGAGGTTGGAAGAAAACAGAAGATTGGGCCATCAGAGCCGCTGAGGGTGTGGTTTTCAAACACATCCAGGCCCTCATCCACTACAGGCCACACCTCTTCCGAAGGTCCCGAGTTACTTCGTGTAGGTGGGGAAGTCTGGGGCAGCCACACTGCTCAGGTGGCACTGAGACACAGGGACAGGAGGAGGCCACAGAAGTGTCTGGCAACCCTCGGGCATGCCAGGGAAAGGCCTGGGCCTGGTTCCTACCCTGTGGTGGCTCCTTGCAGGTCATACGTTCACCCAACAGATATTCATCCAGAGCCAACGCGAGCATCAGCCCAGTGTGCACACGCGTGCACCCGACACGGAACACGCTGGGGGCAGGTTGGTCTTCACTGAGCACCTGCTTGGTTCCCGGTGAGTCATGGATTTGATTTCACCCTTATGCTCAGTGAATAGTGCAAACATCATTATTGTGAGTAGATATCATTATTCCTGCTTCTTTAGATGGAGAAACTACGCAGAGAGAGATCATGTAACATCCTCAAGATCACCCAGGTAGCAAGCGATGGAGAACTCAAAACAGGTCCGACTCCAAAGTCCCGCCCTCCAGGAGGCCACACCCCCCGGGAAGCCCCGCTAATTTCCCAAACTGGTCACCTAAAACCAAGCATGAATTAATCAAGTGGGGAGGACTGGTCAGGTCAGTGTGCAGGGAAAGCTGCTGTGGTGCATTAACTGATGGGCAACTTGCGTGGGGCCGCCCAGCTGAACTGAGCTGGCGTGGCTGTGGGCGTGGAAGACCCACCGGAGGACTGCTGCCGACGGATAAGGGGAGAACTGCAGGGGAAGATCGCATGCAGCTGATTTTCTTTGAGAAGCTTGCCGCGCGGCTCGTTTTCCTCCGTCATCATCGGGCTCCGGCCTGGTGACTCAGACTCTTCCCCCGCCGGCGTTGGGCCTCCGCGGTGCAGATCCTCGATGTGGACTCTCTGGCTGGACGTGAGGACATCGCCGTGGGCTCCAGGCCCTCGGCTGGAATCTTCAGGTCTCTAGCACGCGGAAAGATCTCTCTCACTCCTCTGCATTTGACTTTTTGGTGAGTATTATAAAATAATCCTGTAAACTATGTGTCCTGTATTAAAACTATTCACTTGCAAAGCACTGACTACAACAGCTACTGACGTTTTATTATTTAATAAGGCCCCAAGCCCAAATTTTATTTGGACATTCAAATTCTAATTTTAAACTAGTTGAGAAAAATACACAGTAATGTTCATATTAATTTTGTGTATGTCAAATAATCTAAACCAAATTACAATTTTAGTTTCATTTTAGGAGACCATGAAGAAAAGAGCAATAAATTAAAAGGATTATTTCTCTTAGAAATTCACCTAATACAGTGATTACTGCACTTTCACAATCGTGTCCAGTTTAGACGTGGCCCATGTGGAATGACAGATGCTGTGTATGAGTGGAAACAAGTTTAGAGGGATAAATGTTTCCCAGTGTTAAAATAAACACCGAAGCAGCCCAGGTTTTGGCCAGGCAGTTTCCCCACAGTAGGAGGCACTTATCTACTTTAACACTTGGCTACTTAGAAATTATCACTCAATCAATTACCATCCACCTGGGTTCATTTTTACAGAGCGCTTCAATAAAATGAGTGTGAAAATAAGTTAAACACCTTCTATTCATTTTCTCAGTTTTTCACCTCTCCCAGTGTGGATATGTTGACAGAAAAATTACTTCACTTTATTTCCGCAGACATTTACAGAGTGCTGACCAGACTCTCTGCTCGGGGCTGGGAGATGGAATAAGACAGAGGAAGGAATGTCCCCGTCCACCCCCCGGAGCACACACGGCCTCCCTGGACCTGGGCCATGTCCCCACAGCCCGAATAGAGACAACCTCAGAGTCCACTCTTCCTGTACCCAAGCCCTCTGGAGCTGCCCAGGCACACTTTCGAGGGCCATGCTGCGGCCATCGGGGCTCCTCGCAGGTGCTGCCACATGTGCAAATTCTCTTTCATCAAGAGATGCTTAGGGCACTGTATTTTTAGAGCTCCTCTTTGTTACATCACTTCTGACGTCAGCTTCTGAATTTCTATACGGCCTATGTTCTTGAAATGACAGCTTTATTGGGATATAATTCAAGTCCCATAAATTCACCCTTTAAAGTGCAAGATTCAGGGCTCTTGGTACAGGTACCCAGCTGTACAACCTGCACGACTATCTAACTCCAGAGTAGTTTCATCCTCCTAAGAAACCCCTTCCACACTGGAAGTCACCCCACTTCCCCTCCTCCTCCCTTCCACTACCCCCAAGACAACCACGAATCCACTTCTTGTCCCTTAGCATTTCATATGAATGGGATCATACACACCTGACCTTCCATGTGTGTCTGGCATCTTTCATCTAACGCAGTGTTTTCAAGGTTCATCTAGGGTGTAGCAGGCATCATGTTTCTTTTCTTTTTGTGGCTCAGTGATATTCCACTTAGGGACAGACCACATGTTGTGTATCCATCTGCTGGTGGACATTTGGGTTGTTTGTGCTTTGGGGCTGTAGTGAGCAGTGATGCTACAAACATGTACGTATGCATTTCTGTGTGGTCGGGCAGACACTGAGGAGCAGAACTGCTGTTGTGTGTAGCCATAGGAGGTACTGCAGATTGTTTTCCAAAGAGCCTGCACCACACTCCATCCCCCAGTAGTGTATGAGCGCTCCAACTTCTCCGCACCTTTGCCAACACTTGTTACTGTCTCTTTCCACTGCAGCCATCTTGGTAGGTGGGAAGTGGCATCTTACAAAAGATGGGTTTTGTGTTTCATTTTTGTTTCTGGTCCTGGGGGCTGAACTGGAGGCCTTGTGCATGGTGGGAATCACTCTACCACTAAGCTACAGTCCCAGTCCTTTTTATTTTGAGACTAGGTCTTGCTAAATTGCCCAGGATGACTCTGAAATTACCATCCTCCCACCTCAGCTTACGAAGTAGCTGGGATTACAAGCTCGCACGACCATGCCCAGCCTCATTTTGGTTCTGATTTGCATCTCTCTGATGGCTAATGATGTTGGGCATCCTCACGTGTTCACTAACTGATCTATTTTCCTTTACAAAGCTTCCGGAGATTTTGTGTTCTTCCCAATTTCACATGTCGACCCAGGGTCCAGAAATGCTGGCTTCTGTCCATCTGGGCCTCCTGGGAGGCAGTGTCTGCCTGCATCCAGTTCCTACCAGTCTGGGCTACTGACCATCCCAGCTCCACATGACGAATGAGCTACACAGACTCTTAGCCCAGCTTGGACTTGGGAGACATTAGTCTGTATATTTTTTAAAACAAAAGACCTGGGGCTGGACACTTCATTTTGAAAAGGAGTTCATTTGACTCACAGTTCTGGAGGCTCACAGCCACGGTGCCAGCTTCTGCTCAGCACTGGTGAGGACCTGGTGAGGACCTGGGACGGGGGCACCATGGCAGGGGGCAGACAGGAAGCCAAGGGCATTCAGAGGGGGAGGCAGAACAGCCTCCCACTAGGCTCTGTCTCTTATAGGCCCACACCTGTCCAGACGGCTTCTCACGGAGCCTGGCCCATGCAGAAACCACAGCTGAACCAAAGCAGAGGGGACACAATCTCCATTCCTGCTCTTCCGTGACTGACAGGCAGAGGAAAGAGAGGAAGCAGCTCAGTGCCAGCTAACGGGAGGGCTCGAGGTCTATGCACCATGCTCTCCCCACACCAAGTCACAATGCTACTTCAGTGCCCATTATTCTGTAAAGTCCCCAAGCCCCATCAGCCAAAAATGTAACTCAGTTCGGCGCACATGGTCCCCCCAGGTGGGAGCAGAACAAGTGAAGTATTAGTCCCGCCTTGGAGTGGATGATTGGGGAGGCCCACACAGGGCCCAGTGCAGGACAGAGCCACGCCGTCCTCAGCAGGGGCTCCAGACCAAGGCTTCCCGAGTGCGGGGCTGGCCAGATGCGGAACTATGTGGAAGAATGCAAGGTAGGGGGACAGCGTGTTTGGAGATCCAGTTTCAGGAAATGGCAGGAGTTAAATGAAATTGAGACAGAAAGTCCAAGGGTCATGGGCAGGGTCCTGAGAGGAGTCAAGGCTGCAAGGAAGGTCGGGCAGATACTGGCCAGTCTCCACTGCCATGCTGGAGGTGTGGTTGTGTAGACGAGGAAAGGTAAAGCCTGTGTGTTTTTGAGAAAAAAGCTGGACCCCAAAGAACTCATTTTAGCCAGGCATGGTGGTGCACGCCTGGAATCTCAGAACTCAGGAGGCTGAGGCAGGAGGATCACTGCAAGTTCGGGGCCAGCCTAGGCTACATAGTGAGTTCAAGGCCTGCCTGAACTGCATAGCAAAACCCTGTCTCAGAGAGAGAGGAGAAAGAAAAAAAAGAAAGGGAAAGGAAGAAAGAAAATCAGTTACTCAAGCAAGAGTATCCATGAATATCACATGGACAGATTTTTTTTAGCACAGTTATGAAAACTGAAAATTTTCATAAAACAAACTATTCAAAATTCTCCTTGGATCATTTCTTCTTGGAAAAATTTGGTTGCTCAAAATCCAACAAACCAGCCAGGTATGGTGGTGCAGGCCTGTCATCCCAACATTCAGGAGGCTGAGGCAGAAGGATCGCCATGAGTTTGAGGCCAGCCTGGGCTACATGGTGAGTTCAAGGCCAGCCTGAACTATATAGTGAGACCTTGTCTCAAAAATAGATAGATAGATAGATAAAATTTTAAAAATAAAAAAGATCCTATAAACCACCCTAACCCCTTCCACAGGGTTAAGAAACACAGTGCCCTGTGTGCTCCCTCGGGCAGAGGTCTTCTGGTCTCTGGCATCACACCAACTAAGAGAACTGTGAAAAACCATGACAGTCTTTTGTGTTTTTAAGTAAATATACAAATTATTTTCAACTTAAGGATAGTTGTAAAGGACAAAATTCTTGGCTTAGAGTAGATATTGACATTTTATTTATTTATTTATTTGTTTTTGGTACCAGGGGTTGAACTCGGGTCCTTAGCTTGCGAGGCAAGCCATGGAACCACTGAGCTAAATCCCCAACCTGATATTAATATTTTAAATAAAAACTATTACATCATTCTCCTAAATGTATTTAAAGGGACAGAGGTACCACAGGAATGTGGTACTCACCGATTATTTTATACTTCATCTTAGCCAAAAGGCCGAGAAGTGATCATCATCAATTATTTTAAAAGTACAGTACATGAACAAATTCCTCTTTATTCAGAAATTTGTATTCTTTTTTCTCTTCAAGAAAATTCTACTTCACCTAAAATATATAAGTGCTTGAAAGTCTGAATCTCCCTCTTTTTTTCTACATTAAGAATATTTATGTAAAAACTGAACATTTGAAAATGTTTCACTTCCTGTGACCATTAAGCTCTCTTACGCTTTTGTATTGAGGATTCAGTTATAATTACTAATTGGAGAGAATTGCTCAAAATATGTGTTTCCAATTTTGATAAAATATTACACATAAAAACTTGAAACTACTGGAAATATATCTCTTACTGAGACAAGTGGGCCTTTTCTTATTGTAGCCAGAGATAAGTATTACTTGTTGCTGGACTGAGATGGGTGTTCGGATACAGTGAGACCACTTGTGTTCCTACTTTGCGTTTTGGTGATTGTAAACACTGGGGAGCCTTGTCCACATACTGACCACAGGGAAACGGGTTTTCTTACGGCTATGTCCTTCAAATCTTCAAACTCCTTCCCACACGTGACCATTCATGACAATAGGTCAACTGGATCAGTGAATTCAGATGTGTCTGTAGATGACTGAGGGGGAAGCCTGATCCTGGATGTGGATGGCGCCACCAAACACCCTGGCAGCCTGGGCGGAATGAAATGGGGAGAAGAACGAAGTCTCCCCTTTTTCCGGAGGACTGGCCGTCAGCCTGCCAGCGCAGTCTCTTCACCCTTCCCGAAAAGCCCCACACCGGGGACCACAATGAGCTGAGCTGCCACATCTTCAGCCTGACTACACTGCATCCTCCAGCTTCCCAGCGTGCAGACCCACTTCAGGGTCTCCCGCCTCTGACTCACGGGTGGCCTTTGGGGCTCTTCCCCTTCGGATCCCGGAACGTACCTAATAAACCCCTTGTATAATTATTCATATACTTTATATTGAGTCTGTCCCTCTAGTGAGTCCTAACCACCTATTTGCCAAAAATCATACTTTATCTATTATCAAGAAATCTTTTTTAATCATCAGCCAGATGACAAAGTGGTTAGTTCCTCCTTTGATTTCATCTAAAGAACTGAAAACAACCTGAGATACAAAAGAAACTGATACCCACTATCATTTCCTTCTTATACCAATATTTCACACCATCCTTTCGGCTGCCACAGAAAAATGGTTGCTCCATCTCAGACAAGACTTCAGCTGTACCAAGGTTGTGGGTGGGCAAAAAAGGACAGGCGTGGAGGGGCAACTTGGTGGGTGGGAAATAAAACCAGGCTGAGGTCCCTGGCCCAGGCATTTGCTGGGATGATCACTTTCAGGAAAGAGTCCACATCCAGGCTGAGGGTCTGGAAGCCACACCCACCCACCCACCCTGGCTCACATACCCCAGAGTGCACCCCGTTAGAGCTACTACCCTAAGGCAAGTCTGCAGACTCCTGGTCTACCTCACTCGTTGAATGGTGAAAGTTGAGTTTTGCTCCTATCAACCTGAGAAAGCAGTGGGAAATAGGAAAGAAGCAAAGATGGGAAAAGATGAATGTTAGAAAACAAGATAAAAAGAACAACAAAAAAAATGTTTAATAGGGGAAAATTAGAACCCTGCAGCTCGGCCTACACAAAGCTCATCAAGTTTCAGGAGGGATTCAGCCTAAAATACTGTCTCCCCCACCTCCTAAACACATCCACTAGACTGCTCCAGTCTTTGCTCGCTTTCCGTGGGTGGGTTATTTTTTCTCCTTTTTAAGCAGAGGGTCATCATCCCAAGCCTGGTTTTTCCAAACAAATAGTAAAATGTGACAGAAAATTCTGAACATTCCACCACCAGTGACCCTTACCATTCTGATATGGTCTAATAACTCAAAATTATTCCCTATCATATGCACTTTCTATGACATCAGCTACCACACAAGTTTTTAATACACAGTAAGCAGGTGGCCCCAGCAATGCTTCTCATGTCTCACATCTGGTATTATACTCCATATAAGGTGCTGAGTCCGATTTTTTAATAAAAACATGGCCTGAGCTTGTAAAAGTTCAAGTAAAATATACCTTTAAAACTGCTGTATTTAATTTCCAGTCATGAAAGTCTAAAATTATTGTAAAATAATACTCAACGTTTTTCATAGATCCATTCAATGAAGCTTAAAACTACTTTC